TTCGTTCTCGTTGGTTTTGAAGGACATCTTTATTTCTGCCTTCATTTCATTCTTTATCCAGTCGACATTCAGGAGCCAGTTTTTCAGTTTCCATGAAGTTGTGCGGTTCTGAGTTAGTTTCTTAATCCTGAGTTCTAATTTGATTGCCCTGTGGTCTTAGAGACTGTTTGTTATGATTTCCGTTCTTTTGCATTTGCTGAGGAGTGATATTTCCAATTATGTGATCAATTTTAGAGTAAGTGTGATGTGGTGCTGAGAAGAATGTATATTCTGTGGATTTGGGGTGGAGTGTTATGTAAATGTCTATTAGGTCCACTTGGTCCAGATCTGAGTTCAAGTCTTGGATATCCTTGTTTATTTTCTGTCTTGTTGATCTGTCTGATATTGACAGTGGAGTGTTAAAGTCTCCCAGTATTATTGTGTGGGCATATAAGTCTCTTTGTAGGTCGTTAAGAACTTGCTTTATGTATCTAGGTGCTCCTGTATGTATATATTTGGGATCGTTAGCTCTTATTGCATTTATCCTTTTACCATTATGTAATGCCCTTCTTTGTCTCTTTTGATCTTTGTTAGGTTAAAGTCCATTTGATCAGAGACTAGGATTGCAACTCCTGCTCTTTTTTGCTCTCCATGTGCTTGGTAAATCTTCCTCCATCCCTTTATTTTGAACCTATATGTATCCTTCCATGTGAGATGGGTTTCCTAAATACTGCACATGGAAGGGTTTTGACTTTTTATCCAATTTGCCAGTCTGTGCCTTTTGATGGGGCATTTAGCCCATTTACATTTAGGGTTAATATTGTTATATGTGAATTCGCTCCTGCCATTTTGATGCTAGCTGCATGTTTTGCCCATTAGTTCATGCATTTTCTTTATTGTGTCAATGGTCTTTACCATATGGTACATTTTTGGAGGGGCTGGTACTGGTTGTTCCTTTCCTTGTTTAGTGTTTCTTTTAGGAGCTCTTGTAAGGCAGACCTGGTGGTGATGAAATCTCTCAGCAATTGCTTGTCTGTAAAGGATTTTATTTCTCCTTCGCTTTGAAGCTTAGTTTGGCTGGATATGAAATTTTAAGTTGAAAGTTCTTTAAGGATATTGAACATTGGCCCCCACTCTCTTCTGGCCATAAAGTTTCTGCCGAGAGATCTGCCATGATTCTGATGGCCTTCTGTTTGTGGGTAACCTTTCTCTCTGGCTGCTCTTAGCATTTTTTCCTTCATTTCAACCCTGGTGAATCTGATGATTATGTGCCTTCGGGTTGCTCTTCTTGAGGAATATCTTTGTGGTGTTCTCTGTATTTCCTGGACTAGAATGTTGGCCTGCCTTGCTAGGTTGGGGAAGTTCTCCTGGATAATATCCTGAAGAGTGTTTTCAAGCTTGGATTCATTTTCTCGGTCATATTCATTCTCTCAGTCATTTGATAGGTACACCTATCAAACATAGATTAGGTTTTTTCACATAATTGCATATTTCTTCGAGGTTTTGTTCATTTCTTTTCACTTTTTTTTTCTCTAATCCTGCCTTCTTGTTTTATTTCATTGAGTTGATCTTCAGTCTCTGATATGCTTTCTTCTGTTTGGTCAATTCGGCTATTGAAACTTGTGTATGCTTCGTGAAGTTCTTGTGTTGTGTTTTTCAGCTCCATCAAGTCATTTATATTCTTCTCTAAGCTGTTTATTCTAGTTAGCATTTCATCTAACCTTTTTTCAAGGTTCTTAGTTTCTTTGCATTGGGTTAGCACATGTTCTTTTAGCTCAGAGAAGTTTGTTATTACCCACCTTCTGAAGCCTGTTTCTGTCAGTTCATCAGCCTCATTCTCCATCCAGCTTTGTTCTCTTGCTGGTGAGGAATTGTGATCCCTTGGAGGAGGCGAGGCATTCTGGATTTTGGTGTTTTCATCCTTTTTGCACTGGTTTCTTTCCATCTTAGTGGCTTTACCTAGCTGTGGTCTTTTTAATTGGTGACTTTTGAATGGGGTCTCTGAGTGGACATCCTTTTTGTTGATGTTGCATCTATTTCTCTCTGTTTCTTAGTTTTCCTTCTAACAATCAGGCCCCTCAGCTGCAGGACTGCTGGAGGTCCACTCCAGATCCTGCTTTCCTGGAGATCACCAGTGGGAGCTGTAGAACAGTAAGGGTTGCTGCCGGTTTCTTCTTCTGTTATCTTCATCCCTGAGGGGTACCCTCCGGATGTCAGCCTGAGACCTCCCTTAGAGGTGTCTCTTTGGGTATACGGAGGTTGGTGAGCTGCTTGAGGAGACAGTCTGTTTCTTATAGGACCTCAACTGCTGTTCTGGGAGCTCCGTTGTTCCATGTAGAGCTGCTGGGCAGGTATTTTTAAGTCTACTGCAGTGGAACTGCAACTCTGCTGTTTGCCAGCAGAGGCATTGCTGAGCTGCTGCGGGCTCTGCCCAGCTGGTGTGTGAACCTCCTTGCCATGTTGTTTATAGAGGTACAGTTAGAACTGTCTCTGTAGTGGCGGACGCCTGTTCCCCTACCGAGCTGGACCGTCCTGGATTCAGCTGTGCTTGCTGCAAAATTTGAGCGTTTCAGATTGCTGGTCTTTATGGGGGTGGGACCCGCCCAGCTAGATCACCTGGCTCCCTGTCTCAGCCTTTCAGTTGAATGGCAACCCTTTCAGTTGAATGGACGGCTCTATCTCCCATGTGTTCCCGGCGCCAATTGAAACGACCACCCGATTTGTGTGAGTTTTTGTGCGCCAACCCATGGCACCGACTGAAACAGCTGTGCTGGAACTTGTGTCGCTTTTCTACCCGAGAATCTCCTGGTCTGTGGGCAGTGAAAACTCATTTGGAAATGTGGTGATTACTCACCTTCTGCGTTGTTCTTGCTGGGAACTGCACTCCAGAGCTGTTCCTATTTGGCCATCTCGTATCCTCCCCTGATAAGATGATTTTTATGTGAGTTTGATGAGGACAGGACCACATCTTTCTTATTCACTGTATGTTCAGCATTTATTACAATGTCTGACATGGAGCAGGTGCTCAGTAAGTATTATTTGAATGGATGTATGCTATACACTTTACAAATTTTTGTTTGTTTTTTTTGTTAATTTTGTACTACGTATAGCATAACCACTTGGTGGCACTAAAATCTTTTTAAAACTTGAAGATATATTCTCATACCCAGGTACATTATAACTTTTCTTCTCATATAAAATGAGCTACAATATATCATGGACAGTATAAATTATTATTGACATCAAAAAAGAAAGTGACCACAAGAGTTTTTTTCTACTTCCTAAAATCCTAAAGTAATGGATTGCAGATTTGAAATGTTTGATAATATTTTCTGCTGTAGTGTCACTGCTTAGTTAAGCATTGGGAATGTATTATTTTTTAACGTGTCATGATTTTGAAAGAATGTGCTGATAAGTATAAATTTTAAGTTCTCCTAACTTTACTCCTCCCATTGCTATCCTCGGGATAATTTCACCTTAGGTAATTTTGACCTCAGATAAGGGAACACTAAGTGTTACAATGTTTTAGTCAACAACATTTATAAAGTCCTCTTTAATCATTAAAGTGTTCATCCAAATTTACTCAACTGTGATTCAGATCAAAATACATATTCGTAGAAATCAGCAACAATGTTAATTGGATTCTGGATTTATCACTACTTTTTCCTAATTCATCAATTTTAAAACAGTTTTGAATGGAAAATACTTAAAGAGAAGAATTATAGAAGCATGATGGTGTTATTATGGTTATTGAGAATTAGGAGTATGAGACTGTTCTGTAATGGAGAGTGCAATCTTATCAAGGAATTTCTCAAATATACTTCAGTCAGCAGTTCAGGAACTGGTAGATATTCATAAGACCTTAAAACCTTTACCAACCTAAGAAATAGAGAAGTATAAGAATTTAAAAAGGAAAATAATTGTAAGATTTTCTTCTGAAATCAGGCAGGATAAAAATAGATGATTTGCTAAAATGTACAATCATAAGCTAATTAGCATTATTGGAAACACTAATTACAATATAGAAACATAATATTATAGTAGGACTCAGCTGCAATTTAAAAAATCTATTATTAACCTTGCTGGTATTCACACTGATCATCTGAGGTTCTTCCCAGCTTCATGATCTCAATACTGTAGGTGCTTAGGCAGTGTGGAAGAAACTGCTGTCCATAAGGTGGTTTACAATCTTGTTGGAGAGACCACGTGCAGGTACAGAGACAGCCTAGCATGATGGCTGTGTACACAAATTCTAGAACCAGATTGGCTGTGTGCTCTTGTCAAGTTACTTAACCTCTTTGTGCCTCAGCTTCTACAAATTTAAAATGAAAATGGTAATATCACTCCTTCTTCATAAGTGGTTGAGAGGATTAGAATAAATAGTACATGTGAAGTGCCTACAAAAGTAACTGGCATATAGTAAATGCTATCCCAATTTCTCCTTTGGCTAGAATGTAAGGTTCAGATAATTTGTTAAACAAACAATTAACAGCTAGATGATAGCAATGTAAACACTGTACATGACTGAGTAAAAAATATGTGGACATTACATATCCTGTTTGAGAATTCAAATGAGGGTAGAAACTAATGTGAGTTGTTTTAGAATTTCTCTAAAATCATATAGGTGAGTTGAAGCTTATGCCTGGTAATAAAATACGAATTGAATTTGAATAGGTAGCAATGAGTCTAGGAAGAAATGAATAGGAGAGAAGGACAAGCTCTGTTGGCTTAATCAGCTATGTTTTCAATCAGGATAGTTGGTCTTGCTACCCTAATGGATTGGTTTTTGGTAATACTGAGTTCATTGAGTTCATTTGGTTTCCTAGAATCTTCAACTCCAGAATTGCAGTTAATTTCTATAATTAGATTATGATAGAAAGTAAACATATTTATTCTGTTTATGCTGAGACTTTATAAAATATAATTTGAAAACTTCGTATTTTGGGGTCATTGTCACCAGTTAAAAATAATTTTTTTGTTTTTTTTAAACAAATTGCTATCTTCACTCTTATATTTTATAGGTAATTAATAATGCTTGTGCTACTCAAGCCATAGTGAGTGTGTTACTGAACTGTACCCACCAGGATGTCCATTTAGGAGAGACATTATCAGAGTTTAAAGAATTTTCACAAAGTTTTGATGCAGCTGTGAGTACAACCTTCTTATTCTTAAAAAGTCACATTTGTGAAAGTTTGTATATTAATAGGCTACTTTAAAAACTTGTTTTAGATGAAAGGCTTGGCACTGAGCAATTCAGATGTGATTCGACAAGTACATAACAGTTTCGCCAGGTAAAGAGACTTTATGGTCAATAAATACTACTACTTTCTTTGCTTCTTTGAGTCTCACTATTTTTTTTCCTTACTATAGACAGCAAATGTTTGAATTTGATACGAAGACCTCAGCAAAAGAAGAAGATGCTTTTCATTTTGTCAGTTATGTTCCTGTTAATGGAAGACTGTATGAATTAGATGGATTAAGAGAAGGACCGATTGATTTAGGTAATGTGATTGCTGTTCCTGGTATTTCACTTTTGACAGGGGAAAAACTGTTAGGTATTTACCCTCATTTTTGTCACAGTGCTGCTTAAATTTTCAAGGCACAAATGACTATGAGGTAATAAAATACAACCAAGGCCTTAAGCTCTTCAGTATGTTATGTTATTAATATACAGGAAGGATATGTTGACTAGTTCAGTTGAGGCCTTTGAGTTTTGCCAAGTAAAATTATGTTTTAACCCACAGGTTACGTAATTTTATTTTATTTTCCATTTAACATTTTATTTTATTTTCCATTTAACATTTAAAAACTACCTGGCTGGGCGCAGTGGCTCAAGCCTGTAATCCCAGCACTTTGGGAGGCCGAGGCGGGTGAATCACGAGGTCAAGAGATCGAGACCATCCTGGTCAACATGGTGAAACCCCGTCTCTACTAAAAATACAAAAAATTAGCTGGGCATGGTGGTGCGTGCCTGTAATCCCAGCTACTCGGGAGGCTGAGGCAGGAGAATTGCCTGAACCCAGGAGGCGGAGATTGCGGTGAGCCGAGATGGCGCCATTGCACTCCAGCCTGGGTAACAAGAGCGAAACTCTGTCTCAAAAAAAACTACCCTTAGTGAACTTAAATAGTTTTTCTTGTCATTTTTAACCCATTCATAAGGGAGAGCAAACATTTCGTATCATCATCTTTATTAAAATATTTTCATTTGGAGTTGGATAATTTATTGTTTTGCAATCAAGAAAATATTTTTCTTCAAAGTTCATTATTTAAATATTGCATTAATGTGCTATGCTTTGTGCCAAAGCGTAGATTTGTTCTGATTCCACCCCATCTCTAAAGTTGAGGAAAAACAATAAACACTTATCAAGGTTGAAGGTATAATCTGTAGCTTTGAAAGATTATTGAAATAATAGGTTCACAAAATAATTTTAACTGCTTATTTTGACTTCATTCAATTTTTTCTTTTTTTAAAATTAGGTTTGAAGTCCAATACAACTTGTTTTAGTTGAATCTAATGTTATATGCTATTCATAAAACTTTTAGATTAAAAAAAATTAAATAAATTCATTTTGTTTGTACTTTTTGCCATGCTTCATGTGTAGAACCAATAGTTTATGTAATGCAGATTTACATGTTGCCTCTATATTTTAAATATTTATTTTTCTATGTCTGTTATAAAAATTTATTTATGGAATTGAAACTTAACATAATTACACTAAAAAGAGTTTTACTGCCCTGAATTTGTTAAAATATGTGTAAAAAAATATTTTGGATCAAACTTCTGCATATTCAAGTTGATTGTTCTTATTTTTGTTTGTGTTAACTGTTTTAAATTTTTTTCTAGGTGCATGTAATCAAGATGATTGGATCAGTGCAGTAAGGCCTGTCATAGAGAAAAGGATACAAAAGTAAATGCCCAGCTGATCTCATTGGCATAATATTCTGTCTTTTAAGTATTTTTTAAACTTGTGTATTATTGTTATTTTAGCAGTATGCATTGAACGTCTATACCATTTTTATTTTAACCATTCTAATAGATGTATAGTGATACTTAATTGTGGTTTTAATCTGCATTTCCATGATGACTAATGATGTTGAAAGCCTTTTCGTGCCTTTTGCTCATTTTCTGATTGGATTGTGTTTTGTCTCTTGAGCCTGAAGTTCTTTACGTATTCTAGGTACTAATCCTTCATCAAACACATTGCCTGCAAGTATTCTCTCCCATTCTGTAGCCCATCCCCTCATACTCCCAAAATGGCTTTTCACAGAGCAAAAGGTCTTAATCCCAATAAAAAAAATAGTTTATCAATATTTCACACTATGAATTGATTTTGTTGTCAAGTCTAAGAAATCTTTGCCTCGTTGTAGATACCAGATACTTTTTCCTGTGTTATTTTCTTCAAAGTTTATAGTTTGATGTTTTATGTGTCAGTCTCTGATGTATTTTGAGTTAATTTTTGTATATGGTATGACAGTTAGGTACAAAAAAAAAATTTTTTTTTTTTTGCTTATGCCTATTCAATTGCTCAGGCACAGTGGTTGAAAAGGCTCTCCTTCCTCCACTGAATTCCTCCTGCACCTTTGCAAAAATGGAGCATATTTGTATGGGTCTATTTCTGGGTTCACTATTCTGTCCATTGTTCCATTTATCTGTTCCTCTGCCAGTACTACATTATGCTGACTGCTGTAACTGTAAGTCTTGAAATCATGTAGACTGATGCCTTTCATTTTGTGCTTTTTTTCAAAATTGTTTGGCTGTTATAGTTCCTCAAAAGTAAGACTTTGGATCTTACTTAAGATTTCTGTGTGAGCTGGTTTTATGGATATGGCTCTGACAGGGTAAATTGTGGGCACCACCTCATTATTGCCAGGTGGGAGTAGAAGTCCAACTTTCCTACTAGGCCTTCAGTGACACCTGAGATGGAATGGGGTTTCTTGCTATTGCTGGACAGAGATGGGAGTTCCAGCCCCCAGCAGGGTTTCTGTTGGTACCACTCTGGCTGAGATGGGTAGGAGTGCCTTGCTATTGCTTTCCACTCATACTGAAGTGGAAGAGGCTACTTTGCCACTGGATGGTAGTGACAGTTTTGGCTTCCCATTCCATGTCCTCTGATACCACAAATGAGTGTTGTCATTACCATGTGGTAGGGATGAAAGTCTCCATTCCCTACCCAGCCTTTTTAAATACCAAACCAGGAGCCTTGTTAAAGGTTGGAAGTCAAGGCTCTCTATTCTGCTTTTACTGGTTTTGAGTAGGAGTGGGGTCACAGATTTTTTAGTCATGTTTGGCTATAGTAGAATGATTATTGTCTGAAAGCTTTCTGTCTTGTGAGGCTGCACCTTTTCTGTCTGGCTAGAGAGAGCAGGCTTGTGTTGGAGATTTTTTGTCTGTTCCAGGTATTTCCTGGTTACTGCTTTCTTCAGCTCCAAGTCTGGGATATATGAGGCAGAAAAAAAACCCAGGGAATTCACTATTTTATCATTCTTGGTTCCTGAGTTCCCCAGCTCGTCTGCCTTTTTCTACCTTTCAGAATGTTCTTGCTCTCTCTTTTTAAAAAACATATTATGTCCCGGGTTTTTAGTTGTACTTACTGGCAGAAATAGGGACATGGAAGCCCCACACTTAGTGTTTTAAAAACATTTTTGCATAGTTCAAAGCACTGTGGTTATATTGGGACCATATTCTTTTCAGTAAATAGAGCTGTGTATGAGAAACTCTTAGAGATAAACTAATGCAAAATGGGCTTACATTTTCTATATATTTTCATCTTAGTGCCATTTATATAATGTTATGAATAATATTTTTAATATCAGTCCTTACTATGAACAAGCTTATGTTATGAGATGCTTCATTGATACTAGAGTAGTGAAAATCAAGCATCATTCAGAAATTTTGCTATAGGATATAATTATATATTATATTAATAAAATATGTAAAATGTTTACATGTAATAAGATAAAATTTAAAATATATAAATAGAAAGTTGATCATGACTTGGAAAAAATTATATGATAAGGAGCATAGTTAATACCCATTAAGACACCAGTTCTAATAAATTTAACAAATGTGGAGTCTTCATTTGTTTTTCTCCTAGCTCTTAAGTAAATGAATTGCCTTGTTTCTTCTAAAGGTAGGGAAATTAATGAAAATATTTTTTATTTCAAATGTTTTAAGTGGTACTAACATTATTTTAGAACATTTAAAAAACATTTGTGATTGATGATATTTAGCTTTTTTTTTTTTTCTACAGTTGTCTTTCCTATAGGAAAGCTTTTTGTTTGTTTGTTTGATTCTAGAGACAGGGTCTTGTTCTGTTGCCCAGGCTGGAGTACAGTGCACTATCGTAGCTCACTGCAGCCTCCAACTCCTAGGCTCAAAGGATCCTCTCCACTCCTCAGCCTCCCAGGTGGCTGGGACTACAGGTGCACACCTGTGTGCCTGACCTGAAAGCGTTTTAAAAGTGTCCATTTTTATTGTTAGCCAACTGATAGACTTTTGTTTATAGTAGGAAATTAAGAGGGTAATCCCGATAGGTTATCTTAACTGTAATAGTTTTATAATTCTTTATTACATTATAAACAAATAATTTTCTTCTAGGTACAGTGAAGGGGAAATTCGATTTAATTTAATGGCCATTGTGTCCGACAGAAAAATGATATATGAACAGAAGATAGCAGAGTTACAAAGACAACTTGCAGAGGTTTGTGGTCATGTTTTTAAATACAAAGTTCTAGCTTGGTTATTTTCTCAGGAAAAGTATTTACACTATGTATGTGTGTGTGTGTGTGTGTAATCAAGTGCTCTGCATGGTGGTTAAGAAAATACACACCCTGGATTGAGGTTGCCTAGATACGGTTCCTGGCTTTACCACTTAGTGGATATAGGGATTTGAGCATATTTCCTTGTGACTCGGTTTCATCATGCAGCATAAAGATCATAAATAATCTCTACCTCATAAGATGATCAGGAGGACTAAATGAGGTATGATATGTAAATCACTTAAAATGATGACTAACAAATGGTAAATGCTAAATAAGTGTTAGGAATGGACTATTTTAACTATTTCCTGTGATTTCATTAAATAAGGAAGTTAATTCTCAAAGAGTTAATTAGGTACATTTAGAGTCACATGTAGTCTTTACTAGCTATGATTGAATATCTTTCTGTAGTAAATGTCATTGGAGAAGAGATTTAGTAGACAAAGTTTATTTTAAATCCTTTGATCACATTTTCTTGAGTGTTTTTAAGAAAATTTATTTTATAGTGTATATTAGGAGATTATGGCAATAGAGTATATTGCAGTGTAGGTTGTTTTAGGTGAAAATTCATATGTATTAGAACATAGATATATGGAAGGAACTATTTTGGGGCTTTTATCCTTTAATGCTGCTGTTAGGCTGGCATGCTGTTATCAATATGAAGAGTAGAAATTTGAAAATAATTGTACTGTGTTTATCATTTTAAAATATTCTGAACGTAAGCCTCAGTTATTAGGGTGTGCTATTTCTTTTCCTTCCCCTAAGGAGGAACCCATGGATACAGATCAGGGTAATAGTATGTTAAGTGCTATTCAGTCAGAAGTTGCCAAAAATCAGATGCTTATTGAAGAAGAAGTACAGAAGTTAAAAAGATACAAGGTATGTTTTTAAAAATACGTTCCTTTAATGTTTTAATATAGAGCAGTATATTTTGAGATGAAGGTATACTGAATGTCTGTTGGCTTTCCCTCCTATCATTGACCAGATTTCAAAATACTATGTTGATTCTCTGATACCCTACAAAGATAAGTAGTGAGATGTCTTTCAGTTTTATTTTTGTAAAATATTATTAGGAACAGAATTTTTAACCTATTTTCTTTTTCAGTTCACTGTTGTTATTCTTTTTTTTTCTTTCTTTCTTTTTTGATGGAGTGTTTCTCTGTCGCCAAGGCTGGAGTGCAGTGGTACAATCTTGGCTCAGTGTAACCTCCACCTCCCAAGTTAAAGCAATTCTCCTGCCTCAGCCTCCCAAGTAGCTGGGATTACAGGCGTGTACCACTATACCTGGCTAGGCTAATGTTTGTATTTTTAGTAGAGATAGGGTTTTGCCATGTTGGCCAAACCGGTCTTGAACTCCTGACCTCATGTGATCCATCCACCTTGGCCTCCCAAAGTGTTTGGATTACAGGCATGAGCCACTATGCCCAGCCTGTTATTATTCTTATTGATGCTTAAATTATCCTATCTTTGGCCATTGGGAGCCACTTCAGGCTGTCTCCTAAGTGTTTCAACATAACCCCCTTAGTTTCTGATAGCTTTCTTTTCTTTCTTTTTTTAGATGGAGTCTTGCTTTGTTGCTCAAGCTGGAGTGCAGTGAGGCAATCTTGGCTCACTGCAACCTCTGCCTCCCGGGTTCAAACAGTTCTTCTGCCTAAGCCTCCCAAGTAGCTGGGATTACAGGCCTGCACCTCCACACCAAGCTAATTTTTATATTTTTAGTGGAGATGGGATTTCACCATGTTGGCTAGGCTAGTCTTGAACTACTGGCCTCAAATGATCCTCCCTGGGCCTCCCAAAGTGCTGGGATTACAGGCGTGAGCCACCATGCCCAGCCAGCTTTCTTGCTTTCTAATATAAGATGTTTTAGACTTTTCTTTTTTTGGGGACAGAGTTTTGCTCTGTTGCTCAGGCTGGAGTGCAGGGCACTATCTAGGCTTACTGCACCCTCCACCTCCTGGGTTAAAGCACTTCGCCTGCCTCAGCCTCCCAAGTAGCTGGGATTACAGGCACCTGTCTCCATGCCTGGCTAATTTTTATATTTTTAGTAGACATGGGGTTTCGTCATGTTGTCAAGGCTGATTTCAAACTCCTGACCTTAAGTGATATGTTTGTCTTGGCCTCCCAAAGGGCTGGGACTACAGGTATGAGCTACCATGCCTGGCGTAGACGTTTCTTGTACATTTCTTACTTAAACTTGGAATCAGCCATTTTGTAAAGAAACCCCTTGTTGAAAAGTGGTATTTAGACACCACTATCTCGGCACTCAGGGTGCTCAGTGCTGCTGATTAATCATTGTTTCTAGGCCTTTTTAGAGCTACAGATACGTTTTTGTTTGTTTCATATTTTATTTTTGAAGAGGAAATACCTCATGTATTCATATTAATACTCAAATTTAGGATTCAAGGACTTTGTGCATAAGGAAGTTAAGAATTTCTATTTCTTCTATTAAGCTGAAAATCTTGGGTTCTTAACAGAATTGATGTAATTATTTGTTTATGCCATATAAATGTAGTATGTATATAATGTATGTGTGTATATATGTATATGTGTGTATGTAAAAAAGTCCAGAATAATAGTACTAATAGTACTAATAGTCCAGAATAATAGTACTAATAGTATAATAACAAGTGAAAAGTTTTTTCTTAAGTTTGTCTTAGTCCTTAGGATATATCCCATTTTGGATATAAAATCAAATAACTATATTTTAAATTCACTTAAAATTTTATCCTGTTAATTTTGCTGTTAGATTTATTAGAGTTAAAAATTCTGATTTAGTTTTATTTAGTCATGTCAAGCATTTATGTAATTCAGAGTCAAATGTGAAGGTGACGTTATTTTTAATGATGTCTTCTCTTTCACTTGCAATCCGTCCAATAACCTTTTTTTCAGAAAAGCAAAGAGTGGGGGAAACTGGATTTTGTGTTACTTTGATTGTGGAACATTTATGTCATTTGTCATGTGTGTTATGATAGTTAAAGGATTGTTTTTCATTTGAACCTCAGTGTAAGGCAAGAACTATGCTTTCGTTGCTCACTGCAATGTCAGTATAGTGCTTTGCGTCATACTTAACAGACAACAGATTATTGTTAAATGAAATAAATGGGCCTTAAATTAGTAGGATTTCTTCAGGTGGAAGTGGTAGGGGCAGGCAGCCTGTAGAGTTTTCCAGGCAGGAAAAGGGGAGGGCCAACCTCATGGAGACAGGGAAGGAAAAAATAATAGCTTTACCGATTATTTTCCATTTACGTGATATTTTAAAAAGTAAATTACCTGTCTTTATATATGCTTATGCAGCGTTATTATCGTCCGACCTACCCTCTGCGGGAAGACTGAGCTCGTTCGGAAAAAACCGGACCGCAGGCTAGAGGAAATTCCTTAAGTTCAGGCTTTATTGAGAGGAAAGAGCCTCCGGGCGGACCAGCCGGGAGGAAGAGGAGAATGGCTGTGACGCTCAGAGGGGCAGGGTTATCTATAGGGGGCTGAAGGGCTGGGGGTGGGGAAGCCAAAAGCCGAGGTGGTGGGCAACTGTTGGTCAGTTTGAACTGCTGGGCGGGAAGCTGGGTGGCGGGAAGCTGGGCAGCGTGAGGGCTAGGGCCGGTATGTAAAGTGAGAGATAAGGGAGCCTCTTTGTGGGGGAGGGAAAGAGAGAGAGAGCTTTTGCGGTAGGGGCAGAGTTTTCAGAACATTCTCGACTCCTTAAAGAAAAGAAAAAGAGGGGGTCAGGGGCGTCAGTTGTCTCTCTGTCTACTTCCTGCTGACAAGGGTCGACGGGGGGTTCTGAAGAGGTTTCTTTTCCTAAGGAGCCTGGATGTTCGGGGAGAGGTCTGTTTCTTGCACTCGTTCAGGGTAGGGTTGGAGCAGCATCTGGTGGATGGTGACTCGAGTCAGTTCTTGAAAGCGCCGCTGTAGGAACTGTAGAAAGCAAGGAGCAATAAGTAAGATTAGGCAAACAGCTACTAGGGGCCCAAGCAATGGGGACAAGAGGGTATACATAGAGGAAGACCACCACGCTGTGGCTTCAGCCGAGAACTTCTGACTCTGCAGGTTAGTTTTGAGTTTCTGGAGGCTCTCGATTCGGGTTTCTACTAGGCCGGATTCATTGATGTAGTAACAGCACTCTTCTTGTAGGAAGATACAGGTCCGTCCTCGTTCAGCAGTGAGCAGGTCCAGGGCTCTTCGGTTCTGCAAGGCAACTTGGGCAACTGAGGTGATCTGTCATTGGAGTGATGCTAAAGACTCACTAGAGTCATTAATAGCTGCTTGGAGTTGTGAGGTCAGTCGGGCTATGGCCAGGTGAGAGTGGACTAGTGCCCCTCCTCCTAATCCTGCTGCAAGTGCTGAACCAGCAAGGAAGACACCAACGGCAATGGGTAGGAAGGCAGCTCGTCGGGTGCGGCGATGGGGAGTTTGCAGCATCTGGAATTCGGCTGGGGAATATATAGTGAGTCGAGGGACTAGGGTTACCGGGAGGACTTTCTGTGTATTTTCAGATGGCTGGGTGGGTTGGGGAAGAGAAGCGTTGGCGTGTTCTCGGAGAAGGCTGCGAAGGAGAGTAAAGTAGGGGAGGTAGCTGTCTAGAGGAGTAGTCTCTGGCGGTGGGGGAGTTGAAAGTAGGAAGAGGCAACCATACAGCAGCTCAAATGGGCTAAGCTGTGATGGGCCCCGGGGGCCTGCTCTTACCCTGGTGAGGGTGATAGGAAGTAAGGTTACCCAGGATTGGCGGAGCTCAAGCATGAGCTTGGTCAGATGCTCCTTTATTAGGCCATTGGCCCGTTCCACCTTACCAGAGGACTGAGGATGGTAGGCAGCATGTAGCTTCTACTGAATTCCTAGAGAGGTGGAAACGGCATTAGTGACTTTGGAGATAAAGGCTGGGCCGTTGTCTGACTGTATGGTAGCCGGGAGTCCAAAGCGTGGGATGATGTCTTGAATGAGATGAGTGGCTACTGTCCCGGCAGACTCAGAGGCTGTGGGGGAAGCTTCAATCCATCCTGAAAAAGTGTCAACAATGGTTAGCAGATACCGGTACTGTTTGTGCTTTGGCATATGGGTGAAATCAATTTGCCAGTCTTGGCCAGGTAGGAACCTGCGTAGCTGATGAAGCTGGCGCTGGGGATGACAGGAACCCTGGGAATTAGTTTTCACGCAGACAGTACATGAGGACTGGACTTCCTGTATGGTACTGAGGAGGCGGTGGGGGTGAAAAAGTGGGTTGAGGAACTGGTATAAGGCTTTAGGCCCAATGTGGAGTGAATTATGGATGTCTTGGATTATCTGGTACCTTTGCTTTTCAGGGAGGATGAGGAGGTTATGCTTGAAGGCCCAGTCATCCTTGAACCGTACCCCGGGGGTAGACTGGAGGGTCTGGAGTTCTGAGGCAGAGTATTGAGGGCTAGGAGAAAAAGGCTGTGTGGGCTGGCGGTGGGGAAGGTTATGACGGCCTTCAGCTTTGAAAGGATGTCTCGCCCCAGAAGGGGAACTGGGCAGGTGGGGATTACTAAAAAGGAGTGGGTGAAGGGAGTGGAGTTATATGAGCACATGAGTGGTGGGGTTTGATAGGGGATACTCGGGGTCCCATCGATTCCCATGACTAAGACCTGGGAAGGGGTGAGATGGCCAGAATAAGAAGGAAGTGCGGAGTAGGTAGCCCCCATGTCTTGTGACCCTAGGCTCGGCGAGGGTAACCGGAGTCGGAAAGCCAGGGCCCCGCTAGTCATCTAGCAGCCCTAGTAGACTGAGGAACGGAGCTCCCTCGGAGGTCGGCTCCTGGCAAGCAGGCTCCTCCCTACTGAGGGTGACTGCCGGCTGCGTAACGCCAGTGTGTCTGTTTTGAGGAACCAGCACCCTGGGGAAGCTGGGGCAGTCTGACTTCCAGTGTCCCGGGAGCTGACAGATAGGGCAAGGCTTAGTTGGTGGCCATGGTTGTGGACAGGCTCGGGACCAGTGTCCTTCCTTTCCACATTTGAAACATGCCCCTGGAGGGGCATGGGTTTCGGCCTTGGGCTTCTGGTTCCCTGCCGGCCTTAGAGCCGCCACTAGGGCTTGGGTCTGGAGGGCAGCCTTCTGCTTCATGCGAGTTTGGCGGGCAGCCTCAGCCGCATCTTCCCTGGCATTGAATACTTTAAAGGCCATTTTTACCAGGTCTTGGATGGGAGTCTCTGGCCCCTCTTCTGCTTTCTTTAGTTTCTTTCTTATGTCGGGTGCTGATTGGGAGATAAAATGGGAGGCTAATACAGTGGCCCCATTTTGGGAGGCTGGATCTAGTCGAGTGTACCGGACTAGGGCTTCTTATGTTTGAGTGAGGTATTGGAATTCTTTAATATAGGTGGACGGGTTGGCTGAGAAGGATCCTAAACGTTTCTCAATTTGGGACAGGTCTTGGAGTGAGAAAGGAACATGGACCCTGACTAAACCTTCCACGCCTGCTACTTCTCGGAGTGGGGCCAGGATAGCTGGCTGGTGGGAGCGGGTGTGGGCCGCCACGGGAGAGGCAAGAGGAAGTGCAGCCTCTGAGGGAGGGGGCTCAGAGGGAGTAGAGGGAGAGCGAGGCATGGCCTCTGAGGTAGGAGGTGCAGAGGGAGTGGGGGAAGGGCGTGCCGTTGATGGCGAGTGGTTGCTGAGATTGGCAGGAGAGGACAGATGTTCAGGCAGATCCTCCAGTGAGGAGTAGGGAGGGGGAGAGGTAGTGGAGGAAGATTTATGGGGGGTTCGAGATAAGAGGATTTGGTAGGTGGAGCAGGAAGAACATAGGTTGGGGTGGGTACGGAGGTCCCAAAAAGCCTGGACGTAAGGAATTTCATTGTCCTTGCCCGCGCGGCGACAAAAATCGTCGAGATCTCGGAGGGTGTTGAAATCAAAAGTGCCAGTCGGGGGCCAATGTGACTGGTTACTGAGTTTGTATTGGGGCCAAGCCACCTGGGACAGGAAAATAAGCTTTTTCTTTCTGAGGGTTTGGGAATATCCCAATTTGGTAAAATTTCGCAGCAAGCACCCGAGGGGGGTGCTCAGAGGTATTTTGGACTCCGAATTTCCCATGGCAGGCGCAGCTACAGACTCTCCGGCGCGGATGGGCAGATGCAACGAAAAGGCGTCCCTGTTTGTTGCAAATTCCCCGGAGTACAATTAAGTACGGAAAGGGAAGCGGTCAGGGGGCGTCCCCCATCTGGCGGCTGTCCCTCGGAAGGCTCCTGGAGCCGGAATGGAAGACTACCTTGGCTCGGCCGAGACTAGGCAAGGAGTCCGTGCAGAACGCCAGAGAGGGAACAACTGCACCATGCCGTAGGAAGAGGAGACGGGAAGCGGGGGAAGGCAAAGCAAGAAAAACTTGGCTTACCTTAATCGGAACGTGGAGGTGGCAGGGCCAGTGTTGGGTAGGTCGGGGAGGGGGGCCGTGGCCGGGCCAACGGCCCCAGCTCCCATCCCGGGTTTCCGGCACCATTTGTCCGACCTACCCTCTGCGGGAAGACTGAGCTCGTTCGGAAAAAACCGGACTGCAGGCTAGAGGAAATTCCTTAAGTTCAGGCTTTATTGAGAGGAAAGAGCCTCCGGGCGGACCAGCCGGGGGGGGAAGAGGAGAATGGCCTTGCCGCTCAGAGGGGCAGGGTTATTTATAGGGGGCTGAAGGGCTGGGGGGTGGGGAAGCCAAAAGCCGAGGTGGTGGGCAACTGTTGGTCAGTTTGAACTGCTGGGCGGGAAGCTGGGCGGCGGGAGGCTGGGCAGCGTGAGGGCTAGGGCCGGTATGTAAAGTGAGAGATAAGGGAGCCTCTTTGTGGGGGAGGGAAAGAGAGAGAGAGCTTTTGCGGTAGGGGCAGAGTTTTCCAAACAATTATATAATTAGGTAACTTTTAATATCTGCCCAAAAGAAAACACAAACCAAGTTTCCATAATTTCCATAAAGTGTCTTCCTTTATTGTTTGGGAATACTTTGTTTAAAAAAAGATAAAATGATTCTCATACTGCTATAAAACAAATGTGTTAAGCTTTAATTTAATTAATTAACTGAAGGAACTCTAGTTAAAGAAGTCAGAGAAGCCCAAATTTATATGAAGTAAAGAAATGTTGAAATGAATTTATAAGAGATGGAAATTTTCCATGAAAGAAGGGCAATCAATTAAACCAGACAGAATATATAATAGTTCAGTGACAGTGAAAGCCTAGAATCTCATAACTTGAGAGGACGTTTTCTAGACGGTGCATAGTTTTCCACTGAAGTTTCGATTTTTTCCTGCAGTGTACCCCCTTTCGATCAAAAACAATCTGAAGGAAAGATTGTGCTTGACCACAAAACAAAGCTGTCTCGTTAAACTTTGCCTGATTATTTGCATAGGTGAAGTAGCGAGTGTTAATTTAGCGTGTAGATCTTCTTTAGTTGTTTTGATAAATGACATTTTCGTAAGTAATCTTAGATTGGACTTTTGAAGGCCTCTATTATTTGCTAAGTTAAGGGCAGGAAGCCATGCCCAAGAAACTCCCTCCACATGATTTATTGTTAATCTTTATTCTCAGTGGAAATGGAATCTCATTATTTCTAAAATCATATTCTTATGAGAATGGATATTTTATACCATTTCTATTTTGAATTGGATGCAAAGAATAAAATACCAAAATTAGCAGAAATGTAGTTAGTGTGGATTGATGTTTGTTTTATTTTCAGATTGAGAATATCAGAAGGAAGCATAATTATCTGCCTTTCATTATGGAATTGTTAAAGACTTTAGCAGAACACCAGCAGTTAATACCACTGGTAGAAAAGGTAAGTATTTTATTGGTAGATACTTAAATTAGGTTTAGATATTCCAAAAACATTAAATGTATTTTTTTTTACATGAGTAGAGGTAGAATTTTTGGAAGCTTTTAAAATTTTTATTCTTTTGCTTTTGCCTCTTATTTTATATTCTGTAAGAATTAGTTCAACTGAGACTATAAAACAAAAAATAAAGAATTACCCCACTGCTTTAGCCTTCCAGAGTCTTAGTGTCAAAACCTCAGGTTATGCTGTATTAAATTAAATTTAAAACACTGTTCTTTCTTTAAGCACAAACAGATTTTTAATGCTAATAATTGAAATAATATTTTCCTAGTTTAGCAGAAATTTGAGTTGATATAATAGAATATAGAAGTAGAATGGACATTGCTGGGTTTTAAAAAATACCTTGTACTAGGAAATAGGTTTTCTTATTTCTAGTCTAGTATCCTTTCCACTGAGGGAAAACTAGCGTAAGTTAGTGAAAAATTCTGATTTCTATGATTTTTTTCATAATATAAGTAAAAATAAAATATTTGTTGAATAAATGAAATGCAGTTAAATTGTTTTTAAGTTCATACTGTAAATCAGTGTTTCTGAAAGTGAACATCAGTGGATATTCTTTAAAATACATGTTACCTGGCCCCTCCCCAGATATTCTGATATAGGGGAAGGATTCTTTAATAAGTTCCCCAAGTGATTCTAATGCAACTGGTCTGTGTACCACATTTTGAGAAACACTTTGAGAAGACACTACTAGGCAAATAAAATTTTGGACCATTAACTTAAAGACAAGAATACATGGTAGGTATATTTTTCTTATTAATTTTAAAATTTACAAAGCAAAGATACATTTCAACAAAGCTGTTTCATGTTATAAATTCTAAATAATTTGAGATGTAAGCTAATAAGTTTTTTGTGCATATACCTTGTTGATTGAAACATGTGACCCAACTTTTAGCATTAAATGTAAAAGTTATTGCAGAAGACTGCTAAATCTCTTTTCCACTGTAGGTTTTTCTGTTCATGTATCTCAGGGTATATTCCGAGATGGAAAATCATTATTAAAGTTTTAGATTAATATGGGATCCTGTGGTTCTCAAAATTGCTTGGTTAACAAAAATACCTAGTTACGATGTTCTTAACACGATCAAATATTTCTCTATTATAAATATTAACTATGTAATGTGCTAAATCAAATGGTACATCAGATATTGTTAGATAATGTTATTAGGGACCCTTAGACAAATTTTAAATGTATGAATTTTGCGTTAAAATTGGTCTGTGAACATAATTTTTTATGTGCAAATTAGTAAGTAGAAGGACCACTGTTATTTGATTTTTAATTACACTATATCCCCAGGGTTTTTTGAGAGCATAGAGAACAACAGCTTATCAGCTTAACATTAGAACCATTATTCCTTAGTTCACATTATTTTGGACACAAGGTGGCAGTAAATGAATACCTGATGTTAGTGGAACATCAACTCTTGTGTTTGCCTTGATTTTCTTAAGGAAAGTAGTTATTGATTTTCTAGTTGGTTATTTCTCTAAGCTGTTCTTTTATTAATATTCCAGAAGCAATATTGAGATAGATTTATTTCTTGTATGCATGCAATAACTGTTATTCTCTAAGGTACTGAAGACATTCACACTCATTTAATTGGAATTGTTGAAATGTTTTTAATTATTCATCAAACATTTATCTAGCTGCAAGGATATTCAAGGCACTCCGTTAAGGTCTAGGGATGTATACATAACTGAGACATATTATTTTCTCTTAAGCAACTCATGATTTGGGAAAGGAATAAATAAACAATTATGATACTGTGCTAAATAGTATTATTTTGATAAGTGCCAAGAGCACTTATCAAAGTCAGGCCAAAGATTCCCAGCAAGCACAGGGTAGCTCCTAAATAGCTTTATAGCCACTTAAAATTTCACACCCATAAAATTTTAAATATGTGATTGGAATTAAATGCTTAATCTGTGGTAGTGTATATTAGCTTCCTTTGCAAGAATATATTTTTGTTCATCTTATTTTGGAAAAAAATGATATGATGCCATATTAAAATATCATTTTCTGTAGATAAATGCAAACTTTATAAAGCATGTTGAAAAACTGTTAGAATAGATTGACTAGATTCTAACATGTTGAAAACTGTTAGATTTCATCATTGTATAAAATCTTTACCAGTGATAGTTAATTACTTCATAGTAATACTTCTAAGAAAAATTACCTATAGAATTCAGAAATAGATAAGTTGGGATGGTAGATTTTTATTATGTTTTGTTTTCAGGGAAACTAGGACAAAAGAACAAGGTGTGAGAAGGGATAGAAGGAAAAAACAGGAAAGATGTGGCTGCACCATGTGGTGGTGCTGCCATATGCCGAGACTCCAGGATCAGACTTTTGAGTAGCTGCAGCACTTGCCTGCAATCTATAATGGCATAAAAGTATTCCAGCTAAAATCTTTTTATTTGAAGAATGGTAAATAAAGGGTGGTTCTCCCTTGGGCATGAACTTGGTTAGGACTAATAAATGTTTTTGTTATGTGAGACTTTTTAACTGGTAAATTCATTGAATATACATTACATTAAAAAACTGCTTAGGAGATAATCTAAAAATATACGGTTATAAAACTTCTTGTATTATGTACCAAATCTCTTTCTTAAAATATAAAATTATCTAGTTTAAGATTACATTTGTGAGACTTCTATTTATTCAGGTATATTTATGATTAAAATTTTTTTTTCCTCCACATTTGTATGTAATCATGAATCATTATCTAAAGTTTTTAACTGCCAATAATCTACCATGATGTAAAATCATATATTCCATTGCTATGGGAGAATTCAAAGCAACTTCACAATATTGAATTTTGTCCACATTTTGTTGTGACTTTATGATTCAGTTGGTAATAAGTAAGCTTCAGATATTTTTCTATTTATTAATAGCAGTAATGTGGAAGAATAAAGCTTATCACAACAATATCTACATTAATATCTATTAATACAGAATTATGTGATTTGTGTCAGTACTTTTTAATGTCTCATTGGTATACTGTATAGAAGGAAAGTATTTTTAACAGTATGTATTTTTTCCGTGCTATATATAAATGTGATAGTTTTTTTAAAATTTTTTGACAAAAGCAGAGCAAAATACAGGCTTTGAATTTAAATCTTATATATGTTACTTATTGGCTGGTGCTTTTAGGCACTTATATACTTGCTTATAACCTCTTTCTAATCTGTAAACTTGGAATCATATCTACTTCACATTCTTGATAATTAAATGAGATCATATCCATAAAGTATATAAATTAGTGCTCAATTAATGGTGATAATTATTTTTAATTTTAAGAAATGTATGGACACTCTTCCTTATATGTGTTTGCTCATTTAATTACATTGTAAAGTTTATATAAAAAACTAGTAAATTCATTTCTTGTTAATCCTACTAAACATTCTGTTAAGTATACTCAGAGATCAATAAGGAAAGAAGCACAGACTTTACTTTAAATTATACCTAAAACCTAATTGAATTTTTATTTTTTGAGGAAAGAAAATTTTGTTTGAGATATAATACATATATCAAATTACAAATAATGCTTGTTAACTGAAGACGTTCATGTTGGCAATTAATTTTATTATTTTTAATATGGCACGCAGACTATTTGCTCTTACTCTAAGGCACAGCACTCAGTTTTATCATACTATTAAAAAATAATTATACTACCTAATATATTACAAAAAGAGATTGTAATTGTTCTAATTGTTCTATTTTATATTTAAGGAAGTTTAAGAAAAAGTTGTGTAATGTAGAAGTCTAATTTATTGACTCTTCTGAAGTGGCACAGTGGAAAGAATATTGTTGTAGTACTCTAAAATCATGCTTTTAGAAATGTCTTCTGAACACCAGCAGAAGTGGCATCATCTGAGAGTTTGCTAGAAATACAGAACCTCAGGCATTTTACTAAATCAGTCTGCATTTTCACAGGGTCCCTAGGTCATTGGTATGTACATTGAGAAGCAATGTTATAAAGCATGTGTCTTTGACCTGTTTTGAGGATTTACTATATACTAGCTGTGGGACTTTGGTCAAGCTTGATAACATCTATAAGTTGTGGCTTCTTTATTTGCTAAAGAATAAAACAGAATTACTGTGTTCAAGCTATGTAATTGTAATGAAGATCTGTTGAACTAATGTGTGAAAACTATTTTTTTAGTTCATAAAAAGTTCATTGACACCAGGGATACATAATCCTTTAATGACATTATGTTAAATTCACTTAAGCTGTTATGTTAAATTCATTTATTCACATATACAGAAACTAATGTAAGGTTTTTCTTATACTCATGTGAATAGGAAATGGGCAAATATATGTATACATATTGTTTTGGAATATTCATGAATGAGTTTGACTTTATGGAATGAGTAATTATGTATTTTTAAATTATTACAATTATAATAATTCATTTCACCTTCAGATAGGAAAGAACTACAAACCAAACATGATCCTTTCTTAGGGCAAAGAATAACCATATAATTGTCCAGGAAAAGTTTAAGTCTCAAGTTAGGAAATATAATGCTTTAGAAGTTTTATAAACAATGTATTTCAAAGCTTTCAGCTTGAGAATGCCATCTTAGGCACATTTCATTTTAATATAGTCTAAAACTGACTTGTAAAATTTTGTAATGTGCTATTTTTATTTGTAGGCAAAAGAAAAACAGAATGCAAAGAAAGCTCAGGAAACCAAATGAAGAGGATGTTTTGGGATATGTACACATTTCTGCTTCTGCACTTATTTTCATGGAAATCATTATATGTAAAGAACTTTGAGCAACACCCTAATTGGCTCAGTGCACGTTTGGTAATAGTGCCTGTCTGTCTTGTCTTTAATGCATGAATTCGTAAATTTCTTCCCTCCCTGCATCATGTGCATGTAGAGCATAGTCAATGAAAGTGATGTTAAGAGTGCTTGCCCAAATTCCATTATTTGACATTGAATCTGAGAACTGTTTGTTTTCTGTTTTCTGGATGTATAACTACCTTAATGAAGCTAGAAAATGCACAAATGATAATCCTTATCTGTAATTTAAATACTTAAAATTTGTAATTGTCAGATCTTGATTAAACTGGATCTCTTATTTCTTCTCATCATTAATGGAAAAAAATCAGTATTTCTATCTTTGATATCTAAGTGTTTTGAGGATTTTAAAACTCAATTTTATGTGCTATATCAGTTATTTGAAAAAGTATGATTTTAATGTAAATCATTTAAAAAGGACAAAGTATAATTAATTTCCAGTGATTTTTTTCATTACTGTCAGTAGAAAAGTAATAAACATCTCAATTTTATTTTAGTAAAATTTCTTCAAGTGTTTGGGGTTATTTGTTTATGTATAAGAGAATTATTTCAGGAAGGTCTGAGTATTATGCTTCAAAGTAGAATTTCAGGTTAAGAAGAAACTGTAAATCTTAAAGAGTGTGGCTGTTACTCTCAGTGGAATATTTTTTCAGGCTGTTAAGCTGTATATAAAAAATTGGAGGTCTGACAGTTCGTGCTATCTGCTTTTTTTTTTTGAGATGGAGTTTCGCTCTTGTTACCCAGGCTGGAGTGCAATGGCGCGATCTCGGCTCACCGCAACCTCCGCCTCCTGGGTTCAGGCAATCCTCCTGCCTCAGCCTCCTGAGTAGCTGGGATTACAGTCACGCACCACCATGCCCAGCTAATTTTTTGTATTTTTAGTAGAGACGGGGTTTCACCATGTTGACCAGGCTGGTCTCGATCTCTTGACCTCGTGATCCACCCGCCTCGGCTTCCCAAAGTGCTGGGATTACAGGCTTGAGCCACCGTGCCCGGCTATCTGCTTTTTTAGAAAGGTGGTAGTGGTGATGGGGGATCTTCTTATTGCTGATTTGAATAAATTCGTACAGGCTGCAGTTTCCAAGAGCCATATACAATTTGCTCACAATTGATTTTTTAAAATTGTTTTTGGGAGTTACTTTGTATAATATTCTTGCTTCTAATCTTCCTTTCCAAGTTAGACTTTAAAGAAAACTTGATAAAACTTTTATTTTAAAGGAAGTAATCTACTTTTTTATCAAGAATATTTCTGAGGTTGATACATGACTTTTTACCATTTTATTATTTATTGTAAAATAAATTTAACTTATTTTGTTAGGGAGAATGTGTACCTGTCTTCCAGTTTCAACACATGAAGTTTTAAGGATTGTTTTTAAGCTTAGTGACTTGGTATTAATTAATTTAGAATTAATGGAGAAAAACTTGATGGGAAATTGATAGAAAAATTAATGAATTATTTTTCATACATAATTTCAGTTGGAAGTAGTGAAAAACATGTAGTTTCTCAGTTATTTGTGGGTAAATATGTTTTGCTCTTGAAACAGTAATAATTATGTAGTGTTTTCAAAGCCATGATATAATTTCAAAAAATGGATTTTTAAGTAAGGCTCATCTTGATCCCACACATGTATTTCAGCTTAATTTATATATCCTTTCCTATTGAGGCTTAAATTTTGTAAAGCAATGTGAGGATTTTTGTGGTAAGTTGTATTTAGTAATTAATATGGTGTGATACTAGCACTAGGATTGACAAATAAATCAGTGGAATAGAAGAGAGAGCCTGAAAACAATCAACATGTATATGATCACTTGATTTTGACAAAGGTGGCAAAACAATTTAACAGGGAAGGAGAGTCTTTTCAACAAAAGGAGTCAGAATAGAATAGCTGAATATCCACATAGAAAAAAATGAACAGTGACCCCTACCTCACAAAAATGACTTTGAGATGAATCATAGACCTAATGTAATGTTTTAAAAGTATGTAGCTTTCTAACTGAAAACATATGTGATTATTTTTGTGACTTGGGGGATTAGCCAAAGGTTTCTTAGGTCACAGAAAGCAGTAACCATAAAAGATCCAAAATTAGAGCTCATCAAAATTGTCATTGAAAATGTTAACAAAAGTAGTATCAAATGACATTTGAAAAATAGTTTTGTAAAACTATATTAATAGGTATAAGGAATTTTTTTATTAACCTAATAAAATTCCTTAATAGGAATTTCCATAGATTAAGAACGGCTTATTTTAATTTTCTTATTAATCTAATAAAATTCCTTAATAGGAATTTCCATAGCTTAAGAATGGCTTATTTTATCTGCATCTTCTTTGATGATTGCGAATGCCTTGTGATACTTCATGATTACTCTGTCTGTGAATAAAAAAGTATGACTTGTCTTTGTCTGGGTGCTATATATTGCTGGTTTGAAACTAAGTCAGGAAGCTAGTGGTAGAGAAAATGGAAGAATAAAGAGCAACCCAGATATAGATGAATCTTGTGTCGAAACGTTTGTTAGTGGATATTTTATACAAAGTCTTGCTCTTTCTTTTCTAAAATTTTATTTAATTATTGGGTAGGCAAAGGCACTTCCATTCTGTTTTATGCCTTTCAAAATAGCCAATTCTAAGGGATGTACTTCTGCTATTGTCAACAAAAAGCTTGGCAACAGCTGCGGCATTGGCTACTCTCACCTTACATGTTTAGTTCCCAAGATAGCTGCCCTTTCTGTAACAGCAGTCAGCTCGACTGTGCCACTAGAATAGACAAATATTTGCTCAGGGATCACAACCGTGGGGACTTGCTCCCCTAGTTTGGGCCATGGTACATATTTTTGTTTATATTATGGGTGTTACATGCAGATTAATACTTTCAGTTAATCCTCCTAGTTGCCTAGAACATTAACATTTCGAGATATATTTAGATTTTTTTTTTCCTGTAGGAGTCTTTGTTTCTTTTATTTTATAAAAAAGGCTTTTAATGTATTCTCAAAAAAATCATTTAGAGAAAACATAAGCAAAAATAAAATTTAAATTACCCTAGTTCTACCAACAGGAATGAGCACATGAACATTTCGGTGTATTCAGTGATCTTTTTTCCTCATGTGTACACATGTTTTTGTGTGTTAGTCTTGTTTGCCCTCCCCATAGTCTGAAATCATTTTATATAGTTTATATTATTTTTAAACTTGATATACAAGTTTTCAGGAAACAAACTATTCTAGCTATTTGAAGAGCAATGCAGATTTAAATTAGAAATTTTGAAACTACCTAGTTTCTTACAAAATCGTTGGAAGGTTTGGAGGAGTGGTCTCCAGAAATGTCTCCCATGCAAACATACACTAGGGAACCGCTCACCTTTGCAACTGTCAAGGAGTCCACTGTTGGAACTATTGATGTTAGAACATGCTGCCGTAGTTGTGTTCCAGGAATGAGGAGCCTGTCGTAACACCCAATGGCTGTGCCCTGGAATGCGGAAAAGTTAAACCTCCTGTGTCTAAATGCCTAAAATAGGCAAACTGGATAGTTACATTTTTAGAGCAATGTTTCATTTTTTAGAGTAGTGTGAATTCCTACAGCATTCAAACATGCACGTTATTTAGTTTGTACTTTAGTACGTTGTTAACTGGTCTAAATGCAGTGACTGACAGGGTAAAGATTCACCGTTTTTAGCATACTGGACACTTTTTGTTTTTGACCTGATTACATTAATCTTTGGAAAACTAATCAGTGATTTATTCAACCTACATCTGTGTTGTTCTAGATGCTAGAGGATGGCATAACAGGATAAAGCCTCTGCTCTCATGATGAGACAGATAAGTATGTAATACAACTTTTCAAATAGTAGTAGTATGAATGGTAAAGTAGGGGAAAGGGGTAGGAGGAGCTGAGGTTTCCTAAGATGGTCTTGGAAGTTCCCATTAATGAGATGAGCTTCAAATAAAGACCTAAATGAAGTGAATTTTTTCTCTAGTACTGAACTAGCACTGTACAAGTGGATTGCCTACTGGCAGAATCAATGTGCAATAATTCAGGATATTAATTTGCAATTATGTTTGATGGTTAATTGGTTTTTGAATATGGATATGGATTGTCAATATGAAATGGTTTGATTAAAAGTTATATATGGAAAAGGCTAGGATTACTGGTCTATGTACGTTTTAGATTATTCTTATATTTTACATGACCCTTTCTTGTAGCAATGATAATATAATATTGAATAAACCATAAAACCAGTGAGGAAAGTCTCATGTAGGTATATTTTTTAAAAACATTTTGATCTCGGCTGGGCATGGTAGCCCACGCCTGTAATCCGAGCACTTTGGAGGCCAAGGCGGGCAGATCACCTGAGGTCGGGAGTTCAAGACCAGCCTGACCAACATGGTGAAACCCCCTCTTTAAAAAAAAAAAACAAAAAACATTTTGATCTCTCCCCAGACCCCCATCATAACCATTAAGACTAAAACAGGCTGGGTGTGGTGGCTTATGCCTATAATCCTAGCACTTTGGGAGGCTAAGGCAGGAGGATCTGTTAATCCTAGAAGTTCAAGCATACTGTGAGCAAGATGGCAAGACCCTGTCTCAAAAAAAAAAGTTAGCTGGGTATGGAGGTGGTACGTGGTACGTGCCTGTAGTCCCAGCTACCCAAACAGCTGAGGCTGGAAGGTGCCTTGAGCCCAGGAGTCTGAGAATGCAGTGAGTTGTGATCGGCACCTGCACTCCATCCTGGGTGAGACAGTGACACCCTATCTCAGAACGAAACAAACAAAAACAATGAAAATTTAAAAAAATAATATAAATTTGGGAGAATATTTTATAACTTGGGGATAGAGAAAAGCTTCCTAAGCACAAAATAAAACATAAAAGAACCCAGAAGAGAAATACTTGACTGTACAAACATTAAAAATTTCTGTAAGGTGACAGACACCATAAAACTAAGAGATAGCAAGCCAACAAATAAAACTTTGCTATACATAATATGCAATGTGTGTATTATAAACATTAGACAAATTAGTGTCTAATACACAGAGAGCTCCTCTGTATATTATATATTTTATGATCATATGAGTAATATATTTATTGTGCAATCCTGCAATAAAGCAATAAAATATGATTATGGTGTTCCCCATTGATGGATATCCTAACATTTTAGATATGTTTCATGTTATGTTCACACCAATCTTATATGAGGTAAGTATTAACTTTATTGTACAAATAATATTTATATATTTTTTTCCTTTTATATATTTTTTCCCTTTGAATCACACCATCTATATCCTGGGTACTCAATGGGTGATCTGCAGACCAGCCTCAATGAGCATAACCTGAGAACTTGTTAGAAATGCAGAATCTGAAATCCCGCCCCAGACCATTGGAATCAGAATCTGCATTTTAACAAGATGCCCAGCTGATTGAATTACATTTATGCACATTAAAATTTGACAAGTATAACCTCATTGGTTATTTTTATATTTACAGAAATACTGTCTTCATAGTCAGTAGGCAT